AAAAATGAAAGAAAAAATCAGCAATTTTCTTCATCCCAGCTGACCCCCCCCCTCCCTCCCCCTCCTCATCCTCTCACGCATGGACTGAATCAGAATGAGCTCGGATGGGTGCGTTTTATTCCGTGCTCCCGTCACGCATGAGGAGAGTTAAGAACCCAGCGCGGGCCTCTGCGTCTATAGAGGCGGAGATCCCGCACAGAAAGAGGCTGCAGCCACGCATCCGTCCACGCACACACCGCACAGACTCCATTACAGGCTCTGCAGCACACTCTGTATTCACAGCATGAACGGCTCCAGGCCGCAGCGCCACCCGCATCCACAAAAAAACCCGCAACCCTGCGGTTCCGGGCGGCTCTCCTCCTCCATCCTTCCTCTCCTCCGCGCGGAGGCCGGGATGCTGCGGCCCGGAGAGGAGGGAGGGAGGGGAGGAAGATGGAGGCCAGCAGGAGGATGGAGAGCAGAAGGAGCTTACGCTTCGCAGTTCCGCCGTGCGGTCCTTCATGGTGTCCGGCTGCTAGAGAGCGGAGAATCGGCCCTGATCCGTTTCCGGGGAGGGGGGGGGGAGCTGTCCGACACCGAGATCCCCAGCGGTTCCCTCCGGGTGTCCTCCTCTTCCTCTTCTCCTGGACGCGGAGCAGAGATGGAAGGAGGAAGAGCGCTGTGACGCGTCCCGCCTTCTGCCTCTTTTTTTTTTTTTTCTTTAAATCCGTGCGTGACGGTGCGGGAATCGGTCCTCCTCCTCGGTTCGCTGTTTCTTCCTCTAGATCTGGACCTCTGCCCCCCCTTTAGCTCCGCGCCTTCTCCTCTTCCTCCTCGGTGCGGTCGCAGTGTGGCCCCGCAGCGCGCAAAGCAGCAGCAACCCGGCAGGAAAAACCGAGCGAGAGAGAGGGGGAGGGAGGGGAGGGAGGGGGGAGTGGTACTGATGCTGCAGAAAAGGAGAGGGGAGGGAGGGGGGAGAGATGCGGAGCGGATGGAGAGCAGCGCGCATGCTCCCCCCTCCCCTTCCACGGGGCCCCTCCCTCCCTCACCGCAGCAGACTGTTTGCTTTCAGGTGAGGATCAGCATCATAGGGGAGGACAATCTGTTCACTCTGCTGCCTTAGCAGGCCTGCGCGCATGCGCGGAATGGGGGGGATTACCAGAGAGCGCATGCGCGCTGAGGATAAACCAGCCTCACCTGCTCTGAGGTTCTGCTGCCAGACTTCCAGGTTCGGTTCTGCAGGATCTTTATTGAACAGCTGCTCAGCCAATCAGAGGACAGCACCTTTACAGAGAGGAGAAGATGATTGGAGGAGGGACAGAACACCTGACCCGCCAGAACTGGACCAGAACAGAAATCTGACCTGGTGCCACAGCTGATGGTTCCCATGGTGACCCAGGTTCTGATGGTTCTGTCTGGCTGGACTCTAAAGGTCTCCAAAGTCCAGCCAAAGCTTTCTGCGATGTTCTGAAAGTTCTCATCATGGATGGAACGGAACCTCTGAGGAACGTTTCTGGCTTAAAATCCAGGAAGTTCTGGAGGAAATCAGAACCGAACCAGTTCAGGAAACTGGTTTCTTAGCCAATTTGATTCTGACCCATTTCGGTCCACTTTGCTTCAATGAAATATGAAAGATTCTGACCCAAAACCACAGAGCTGCTGTTTCCACCAAGAGATTCTGGATATATTAAATCATTAGAGCAGGAAGGTTAATTAATAATCATCCATATCATGGGTAAAACCCAACTAACGATTATTAATTAAACCATTACAGCCGTAATCTGTTTACTGACCAGGGTCCTCAATGTTTTCCATAAAGGTTCGACTCCTTTAAAGTTAAAGTTGTCTTTCAACAATTTATTCCAAAAAAGTTCAAATCAATCCACTGGACTTTGTTTCCAAGTTTAAAGACGTTTCTCTTCCATCCAGGAAACTTTTTCAATTCAAAATGTCAGAAATAGCGTCGAGTTCCAGTTTTATAAAGTTATAATGTGTCAAAGGTTAATAATTTATTTCCTGAGAAAAAAAATACCTTAAAATTCAGTTTTATCACCTGATCTGCACAGGAAATGGGACGCTACGCTACTTCCAGGAGCTAACTTGATCAGCTTTGGATTTAAACACAAATTTAGTTTTTTATAGTTTTATGTTTTCCTTTAGTGCGTAATCTAAAGAAAGAAACAACTAGAATGCAGATAAACACGGTTTAATCAGATTTACTGCTCTGATGTCCCATGATGATGTCATGGAAGCTGTTTAACAGAAAAAATGGAAAAAGCATCAAAATTGTCTCACAAAAGTATCAAAACATTTTTTAAAGGTGTTTATTATCATTATTTAGTGAGTTAATAATGAAAATAAGTCATTTTAGTATAATAATTACCTTATTTATGGACATCCAGCTGTATATCTGTTCACGCAGGTTGGATCGTGCTTCCAGGACCAATCAGGTAGGGACAGCAGTGAGCTAGCGTGAAGCTAACAATGCTAGCCAGGTAACCATAGTATCCTAAAGGCTGGTTTATGCTCAGAAAAAGGTCGTCTGCTTGTGTGTCGCAGTTAATGCAGATATTGTCGCACAGACTTTCCCCCCTTCCTCTCTGCCTCGGCCGTATCTAGACCCACAGCTGGATCCGGATTGGCGCAGACCACTCTTCAATGTTGGGTAGAAATCAAAAATATCTGCGACACGCTGCTGGGGGAGGGTAAGCAGGCCTTAAGTCTAAAAACAAATGAAAAGAGGAATTAAGCAGCCAGTAACACCGCATGGATCGATCAGTCAGGCTCAGTTAGCATTAGCATTCAGTTCAGAAGTCTAACTGAAATCAGAAAGCTTCTTTCAGATTTTATTAACATCAGATGGAAAAAGGGGAAAGGAGGTTTTCTTGTTGGCTCAGTGGAATGGAGGACGGCGGGTTTGGTTGGTTCCGTTCATTCCTGGCAAACCGTCCGCTCATCCAACAGACTTCAATTATTCTGATGCAAAAACAGAAGGAAACTTTGCAGAGCTTCATTCTGTCCCTCAGTGCAGCCTTAGCATGGGGGGCTCCTTAAAGGAAAGGTCCGGTCATATTCAGAACTCAAACTTCTGAAAGAACTTTAAACCTGATTCATTGATTATTCCTTGCTACTGTTTGCAGCTTTTAGCAGCGGCTCAGATGGAGGCTTCAGCAGCAGCTGAACCAATGGATCTTAGTGGATTCACAGTTCCAGAAGCTTCTAGCAGCTCATCTGGGAACAGAGATCAGATGTTCTGTGGGTCGACCAGGACCGGGTAGTTTCTACGACGGAGTATTAGGGCCACACATGAAGAGAAAAAATATTTTTGCCATGACGAGATTAAACTCGACATGTCGACTTAAAAGTCGCCATTTCGAGAATAAAGTTGAAATGACTGACATGTTCTCAAATTCAGAACTGCGAGCCTGGGTAAGCATAGGGAAAGACGTTACGTTATTATTGGTAGGCCACCGCTTCCTGTGATGATTATACAGTTGCAGCACGTCAAAGACTACCTTCACTCTTAAAACGCAGACTGCAGCTGTGGAGCGCGGTTGCTCTTTTCTCCAAACTTTGGAATGTCAAGATTAAAGTCACCACGATATATCAACTTTATTCTCGAAATGGCGAGTTTAAAGTCGACACGTCGAGATTAAACTCAACATGACATTTCAACTTTATTCTCAAAATGTTGAGTTTAATGTCGACATGTCGACTTTATTCTCAAAATGTTGAGTTTAATGTCGACAAGGGCAAAAACATTTTTTCTCTTCATGTATGGCCCTAATACTCCGTCGTAAGTTTCTCATCTACATCAGCAGGTGGGTTCCCAAAAAACTGCGTGCAACTTGATTTGAACCACAGGAAAAACAAGACTACGTTCGGCTCCTCTGAAACGCAGGCAGCGTGGAACCTGATTCTACCTGCTTTGGTGGCTAGGAGGTAGGCGTCCGTCTCACCTGTAGAGGCCTGATAGCCACAGGTAAGAAGGCGGGATGGGGGTCAGCTGCTTAAGTTAAGGGGATGGCGTTTTTTTTTACATCCGGTCCTTGATTTTTCGTTATTCCATCATGTTCTAATCACCATCATATGAGTTTAGTGTCATTTGGAGCCGTTCTGAAGATATTCCGTTAGGTTACATCCAGTAACGTCTTCCTATGGGCAACGACTTGAAGGCACAAACTAAACTGTTCATCATTTATTCTTTATGGAACGCCAGCATTCAGAACATGGAGGCCAATCACTGTCCCCCAGACATCCGCCGTTAGATTTTTATATTTATATCTTTTAAAACAAAGCGGCGTGTTTATGACATCATCCGCGCGGCGGACTGTAGTAGTGACAGGCAGCCCGGGTCACAAGCGGCTACGCTCTACCCCTTCTATTCATTCTAGCTAATCTGAATCGTTCATCTGGAGAGCGAGATCATCTGTGGTAGCAGCTCTAGACATCTTCCAGGCATGTGAGGAAAACTAGCAGCAGTTCAGACGACAGGATGAAGGAACGGTAGCCGGCGCACGCTGATGATGTCAGGGGGGGTGAGTAGAACATGATGGAATAACGGAAAATCAAGGGCTAAATGTAAAGAAACGCCGTTCCCCTTTAACAGCGACACACGCAGACGACCTGGTTTCTGGGTATAAACCAGGCTTCATGAACACAATGAAAATTATTGATTTTATTTTTTATACTGATTAACGCTAAATTCATTCAATTTTCGCGAACGTTTTAGTTTTAGGTATAAATAATGTTCCATTGATCATTCTTTGCTGACCGGACTTTTCCTTTAATACTGAGGCTGTTTAAGTTTGGTCACATGGCGGGGTAGCGAGGCCCCTCCCCTAAATGAAGCGCGCTTCGCAGAAACGCCCCCTCCGCTCCGCACGCGCCTCGAAGCCTTGGCTCATCTCGTAACATCACTGCTTTACAGTTTTCTTTATCTTATAAATAAACATCTTAATATTCTAGTTGTTCCATTAGCATGTTCTCCCAGTGTGTATCGGTGTCCTTCTCAGGGTACTCTGACCTGCTCCTCTGTCCAGAAAGGTGTGTCTAGATTCCCCTCAGGTGTGAGTGTGCGTGGCTCTGCGGCTCAGAAACCATTTTAAGAAAGAAATGGAGAATAAAACCATCAATATGACAGATTTCTAAAACAAAAATTTAAAAAAAATCAAAACAGCAAAATCAAACCGAGACCATCTGAACTGATGTGCTATTCCGCCCCCTGCTGGTCAAAGCTCAGACAGCAGCTGCTCTAATTTCTCCTTGGATGGAGGGTGAAGGGCACCAAGAGGTGTGTGTGTGTTTACCTGTCTAGCGCTCAGAGTGAGGACCAGCTGTTGCAAAGGGAGGACATTTAGCCGGTCCTCTCATGCTATTTATCTAATGGTCAGGTTTAGGGCTAAGGTGTCAACTGGTTATGGTTAGGGTGAGCTATGCATTGGTAATGGTTAGGTTTAAGGTTAGTTTAAGGTTAGAGCAATAAAAGGATTAAAAATGACTGAAAATCAATGGAAGTCAATGGGAATCAACACATGGTCCTCACTACGATGGCAGAACCAGTGTGAGTGTGTGTGTTAGCTTGTGGGGACAGTGTGAGTCCAGTTTCCCTGGAATATGCTGCTTTGTGGGGACTTCCTGTTGGGAGGGGGTCTGGTTAAAAATAAAAACACAGAAACTGAACATTAAGAGCAAAATAAGTTTAGAAGATAAATCAACAACTTCTCATCATTGATGCTGATTTTTAAGAAGCTGCCATTAATTCCTCTGAATATGCAGGTTTGATGTCTGAATGTGTCAATTCAACATTATTGAATTCACTAGTTCCTATGGACAAGGACCATCAGTTTATTTTATTGTACAAAAATAACAGATATAAAAGTTAAAAG